TTCCAATTCTGTGATACATCTTTGATATATCTCCGCTTACAGCGACAGGTTGCTCTCTGAATCTGAGGATAACTCCCAACATGCTGTTCAAAAGGTCAGGACCTTTTATCCAACAATCGTTAAGACAGTGTCCCTTGTATCGTGCTGAAGAATTAAATACGATTTTTACTGGCGTGCTCTTCTTATCAGGTCGAACAACTTCATGGTGAGCTATATAGTGAACGGGACCTTTGTAATCATTTATTTCTTTTTCTGTTAGCTTTCGTGAAAACCCGAGATCTTCCATCTGCTCCATTTGTTCTTGATATGCTTTTGCATGCTGTAGATTCCCTTTCAATCGTTTTTCAGTTGCTTCCATCTTCTTCACAGCTTGTTCTTGGTTGTCGGGATGGGTTTTGGGGTCAGTTTTCCAAGGGTACGCCATTTCCCATCTATTTCCAATTAGCTTGCATCCTTGCTCGATTAGTTTGGTTTCTTCTTGCTCAACTTTGGCATTTCAATATTTGATTGACTAACTCCCATTGCTTCGCTCGTCCAAAAGTCAGTAAGATCTACAGGTCTTGTATACTGGACATGAAATACTCTACTGGTTTGCTGCAAGCCTGGTATCGCTCCAAAAATAATCCAACCAAGAGGTGAATGTCACGCAACAACGTTACCAACTTTCTTTGAATCTCCAGTATGCATATAAGCGTGATCAATCCCAATAAGCATATCGATTGAGCCACATTCTCGGTAAATTTTCACTTCAGGGATTCCAATTCCTTTTGCCATTTCACCAATATTGATATTTGAAATGTCATTGCTAATATGTGGAATTCCAACAGCTTTGACTGTGAACTTCGCACCAGACTCCAATGACGTAATGGGAACTTGATATAATTTTGTCGCCAACATTTCTTCTTCACCGCCCTCTTTTCTAATAGTTATCGAAACATCCTTTCCCTTTAAATCCAAATTCTTTGCTGTACTTGTACAAATCAGACTTATTTGTGCTCCAGAGTCGAGTGGAATGTTCCCTTGTTTGTGTCGATTGTTCTTTCCAGATATCTTCACTGTTATAACTGGCAGCATTGCTTCCGTGTTGTTTTCTACCGATGCTACGCCCACTGACGCTGCAGGATTTGAAGGATGCAAAAGAATATGATGATAATATTTACATTGAACGCCACTTATTTTCTCTGTACACTGCTTCCTTCTGCTACAGTTTGATGCTCTGTGGTGTGTGGTCACGTCCGGCCTTCTTAAGACAACTGAAACAAGCGTGGTTTTCTCTTACTGTTTTCAAACGGTCCTCTGGACTCATGGATTTAAATTTTTCACATTGGTCTACCCAGTGCGTTGAATTGTCGCAGATCCAACACTTTGGTGGTTTTCCTCCAGATAGCTGATTTACATATCTCGAACCCTGACTCGGATTTCTCAGTGGAGCAGTTGCACGCATCCTCGACTTCATTTCCGTCTCCATCCAAGCAATGAGACCTTGTAAGCTTGCTGGCCTTTCATTCCTTTCCAATTCACGAGCCCAAATCTTTCTATCTTCCACACACATTTTCTGTTCTATTAGTGATAACATGTGATTGTTATCCATATCATGGGGTTTTCCCACTCCCTTCATCGTATTGAAACTACGCTTTACTAAATGCACCAGATCACAAAATCGTGAGTCTTCTCCTTCTTTCAGGGGTCGGAACTTTGACAGATCTTGGGTTATTTGGTCCGATACATATCTGGGGTCTCCATAGATTGAGTCTAAATATTGCCATGCACCATCATAATCTGTACCAATTCCATAGAATAAAGATCCATATAGAAGGGCCACTCAGGGGTGCAACGTGTCCTCGTTTTTTTATGCAAAAATATGCAGTTTACTGGCCAGAAGGCGGAGCAGCCAGCCAGTACAGCGTGTTTATTGGCCAGAAAATGTCATTGACTGGCTAGGAAAATGGCGGCCAACATGCGTAATGCGACATGCGCGAGGACAGAAACTTCAAAGCTTCCGACGTAAGTGGCCCTTCTATATGGATCTTTATTCTATGCCAATTCCTTTGATAAGCTCTAGGGGTTTTCCCTGCAAGCATGCACGAAGGTACGTCATTGCATCCCTTTTATTGTATGTAGATTCAATAGCATGCTTAAAATCATCTCGAAAAATACTGTACTTTCTGACGTCGCCACTAAATCGAGGCATTTTTGGCTTCTAAATTTTGAAACCACAAACATGTTGAATATTTGAAATACTTTGGGCACCCTCACTTGAACTTGGACTATTCTGTTCTTGACCTTGGTGGGTTGGGGGTTGACCTTGGTGGGATGGGGGTTGACCTTGGTGGGATGGGGGTTGACCTTGGTGGGATGGGGTTGACCTTGGTGGGATGAGGGTTGACCTTGGTGGGTTGGGCGTTGACCTTGGTGGGATGCAGGTTGACCTTGGTGGGATGGGGATTGACCTTGGTGGGATGGGTGTTGACTTTCGTGGGTTGGGGATTGACCTTGGTGGGATGGACTTTCACCCTGGTGGAATGGGCCTTGACCAGACCCAGGGATACCGTCATGCTCTTGCTACCCATTGTGACTAACAGTTGTCTCGGTTTGATCGGGCACTAAACCTGTTTCGGTGTTTGTTTCATTTTCAAACTGACCTTGTGGCTTGACCTTTAAATAATCATTTGTTCTGATCCTTATCTGCATAAACCTCTGTTGACAATCTTCAATCCATTCTTCCTCAGTTGCAAATTCTTCATCGCCATCCACCAACTGAATATATTCGTCGTATTTCTCAACCAATTTCTTGTATAAATCTTCCAAATTAGCGAGTGATTCCTCAACTTCCGGTATAGGTCTCTCATTTTTCAATAAATAATCGAAGCCATTTCCTGCCCTTGTAACACTCGATTTTGCACATCTCCGCTTCTTTTTCGCTTCCTTTAACGCTTCCTTCGTTACCTCCGTCATTTTCTGAATATCCTTTAAGCCCTGGTCAGCTAGAAATCGAATTTATGGCTCGCCAGAATCAGAATTGCCGGTTTGTAAAGCGACCACAAATAATTTCCAAATATCGTATAATAGTTGTAGTATTCAATAGTAGTAGTAATATTCGACCTAAAAGTATAAATACAAGAATTATCTACTGAATAAAGTAAATTAGTTATGATAAACAACATGAACTTACTTCTTTGGCCTATATCACTTTACAATATACCAAATATAAACCTATTTCTGAACGTTAAACCTCGAATAAACAGCTTAAAACCAACGTGTTTATTTCCCGCTATTTTCTGTCACGTGACTGTGTCTGTTCAATGACGTAATTATTTATCTATTTTTAAATTAGCGAAACAGATACCTTTCCATCAACATGTCAAATAAAATTTTCGCAAGAGGCTTGTAACAAGGTTGTTAGCAAGTTGACATAATTCCGTTCCATCAACTTGTGAAATAGCCTTTTTGCAACAGGCTTGTAGCGAGCTTGTTAACAAGTTGAGATAATTCCGTTCCATCAACTTGTTAAATAGACTTTTCGCAACAGGCTTGTAGGAAGCTTGTTAACAAGTTGTGATAATGTTGTTCCATCAACTTGGCAAATAAAATATTCGCAACAGGCTTGTAGCAAGCTTGTTAACAAGTTGTGAAAATACCTTTCCATCAACTTGTCAAATAGAATTTTCGCAACAGGCTTGTAGCGAGCTTGTTAACAAGTTGAGATAATTTCCGTTCCTTCAACCTGTCAAATAGACTTTTCACAACAGGCTTGTAGCAAGCTTGTTAACAAGTTGAGATAATACCGTTCCATCAAATTGTCAAAAAGACTTTTCGCAACAGGCTTGTAGCAAGCAGGTTAACAAGTTGTGACAATGTTGTTCAATCAACTTGTCAAAGAAAATTATCGCAACAGGCTTGTAGCAAGTTTGTTAGCAAGTTGTGACAATGTTGTTCCAGCAACTTCTCAAATAAAATTTCGCAACAGGCTTGTAGCAAACTAGTTAACAGGTTGTGAAAATGTTGTCCCATCAATTTATCGAATAAAATTTCGCAACAGGCTTGTAGCAAGCTTGTTAACAAGTTTTTACAATACATTTCCATCAACTTGTCATATAAAATTTTTGCAAAAGGATTGTAGCAAGGTTGTTAGCAAGTTGAGATAATTCCGTTCCATCAACTTGTTAAATAGAGTTTTCGCAACAGGCTTGTAGGAAGCTTGTTAACAAGTTGAGATAATTCGTTCCATCAACTTGTCAGATAGACTTTTCGCAACAGGCTTGTAGCAGCGTTGTTATCAAGTTGTGATAATTCCGTTCCATCAACTTGTGAAATAGACTTTTTGCAACAGGCTTGTAGCAAGCATGTTAACAAGTTGTAACAATGCCGTCCCATCAACTTGTGAAATAGACTTTCCTCAACAGGCTTGTAGCAAGCTTGTTAGCATGTTGTGAAAATGCCGTTCCATCAACTTGTCAAATAAAATTTTCGCAACAGGCTTGTAGCAAGCTTGTTAACAAGTTGTGACAATGTTGTTCCATCAACTTGTCAAATAAAATTTTCGCAACAGGCTTGTAGCAAGCTTGTTAACAAGTTGTGACAATGTTGTTCCATCAACTTCTGAATTAATATTTTCGCAACAGGCTTGGAGCAAGCTGGTTAACAAGTTGTGGTAATGTTGTCCCATCAAATTAGCAAATGAAACTTTCGCAACAGGCTTGTAGCAAGCTGGTTAACAAGTTGTGACAATGTTGTTCCCTCAACTTGTCAAAGAAAATTTTCGCAACAGGCTTGTAGCAAGCTTGTTAACAAGTTGTGATAATGTTGTCCCATCAATTTATCTAATAAAATTTTCGCAACAGGCTTGTAGCAAGCTGGTTAACAAGTTGTAACAATGTTGTTCCCTCAAATTGTCAAAGAAAATTTTTGCAACAGGCTTGTAGGAAGCTTGTTAACATGTTGTGACAATGTTGTCCTATCAATTTATCAAATAAAATTTTCGTAACAGGCTTGTAGCAAGTTTGTTAGCAAGTTGTGACAATGTTGTTTCATCAACTTCTCAATTAAAATTTTCGCAACAGGCTTGTAGCAAGCTGGTTAACAAGTTGTGACAATGTTGTTCCATCAACTTGTCAAAGAAAATTATCGCAACAGGCTGGTAGCAAGCTTGTTAACAAGTTGTGAAAATGTTGTCCCATCAATTTATGAAAAAAAAATTTTCGCAACAGGCTTGTAGCAAGCTTGTTAGCAAGTTGTGACAATACCTTTCCATCATCTTGTCAAATAAAATTTTTGCAACGGGATTGTAGCAAGGTTGTTAGCAAGTTGAGATAATTCCGTTCCATCAACTTGTCAAATAGACTTTTCGCAACAGGCTTCTACCAAGGTTGTTAGCAAGTTGTGATAATTCCGTTCCATTAACTTATGAAATAGACGTTTTGAAACAGGGTGTAGCAAGGTTGTTAGCAAGTTAAGATAATTTCGATCCATCAACTTTTCAATTAGACTTTTCGCAACGGGCTTGTAGCAAGCTTGTTAACAAGTTGAGATAATTCCGTTCCATCAACTTGTTAAATAGACTTTTCGCAACAGGCTTGTAGCAAGCTTGTTAACAAGTTGAGATAATTCCGTTCCATCAAATTGTCAAAAAGACTTTTCGCAACAGGTTTGTAGCAAGCAGGTTAACAAGTTGTGACAATGTTGCTCCATCAACCTGTCAGAGAGAATTATCGCAACAGGCTTGTAGGAAGTTTGTTAGCAAGTTGTGACAATGTTGTTCCAGCAACTTCTCAAATAAAATTTCGCAACAGGCTTGTAGCAAGCTTGTTAACAAGTTTTGACAATACATTTCCATCAAGTTGTCATATAAAATTTTTCCAACACGATTGTAGCAAGGTTGTTAGCAAGTTGAGATAATTCCGTTCCATCAACTTGTTAAATCGAGTTTTCGCAACAAGCTTGTAGGAAGCTTGTTAACAAGTTGAGATAATTCGTTCCATCAAATTGTCAGAAAGACTTTTCGCAACAGGCTTGTAGCAACGTTGGTAGCAAGTTGTGATAATTCCGTTCCATCAACTTGTGAAATAGACTTTTTGCAACAGGCTTGTAGTAATTAAGCATGTTAACAAGTTGTGACAATGCCGTCCCATCAACTTGTGAAATAGACTTTTCGCAACAGGCTTGTAGGAAGCTTGTTAGCATGTTGTAAAAAATGCCGTTCCATCAACTTGTCAAATAAAATTTTCGCAACAGGCTTGTAGCAAGCTTGTTAACAAGTTGTGACAATGTTGTTCCATCAACTTCTCAATTAAGATTTTCGCAACAGGCTTGGAGCAAGCTGGTTAACAAGTTGTGATAATGTTGTCCCATCAAATTAGCAAATGAAATATTCGCAACAGGCTTGTAGTAAGCTGGTTAGCAAGTTGTGACAATGTTGCTCCCTCAACTTGTCAAAGAAAATTTTCGCAACATGCTTGTAGCAAGGTTGTTAACAAGTTGTGATAATGTTGTCCCATCAATTTATCAATTAAATTTTCGCAACAGGCTAGTAGCAAGCTGGTTAACAATTTGTAACAATGTTGTTCCCTCAACTTGTCAAAGAAAATTTTCGCAACAGGCATTGTAGAAAGCTTGTTTACA